AATGAATCTCTAATTACGCTCGCCGGGTAAACGAGCCCGGTATTCATTACGGACGATCGAATGGGGGCTGGGGCGCACCGCGTTCGTTCGGAGTATAATCGTAAACTTGATTCCGCGTCTTTCCCTATGAATCGGAGCGCGATCGTTCGCCGAACGAATTGAACACGATTAATTGACTCGGTACGTTCGCATAAACGTTAACGAGCCGTTACCGCCGATACCGGTCCATTTACGTAACAATTAATTGACTGTTACCGGTATACCGAACGACTCGCCGGGGATTTTTACCTTTTGCCACGCGGCTTTTTTGCCCCGGGCACCCGTATCGATACTCGATCTGCGAGCCGGTGTCTCCGCGTCGTAAATCGGCTACCCTTTTTCCACGTGCTCCCAAAGAAACTGATTAACCCTTTCGTTAGCGCGGGACGAGCACAGTCAACCACCGGGAATCGGCCGCGGACAACCATGGGCGTCTACGCTCCTCGCTCCCGTTTCACTTTTTTTTTGTTTCCCCTCGGTATACCCGCTTGTTTACTTCCCTCGGTGCTTTTATCATCGCGACGATCGAATGATATTGTTGGCCGCCTTTGTGTAGCTGTGTACGATCTTCTTGGGAATCGCAGGATTTGTTTCTTCCTCTCGCGATCTCCGTGATTGCGGTACTATTATTTCTTTGCGAGTCTCGCGTTCGTTTTGACGCGATATCGAGTCATTCGTCGTTTGGGTGTTAGACGTGTTACAGTGGATACTGAAGGGAATCGTTGTGTTTTATTCGAAGTTTCTGTTGCTTCGAAGGTTCCCTTTGAGATTTCGTTTCGTTGAATATTCATTTCCCGAATGCTCCAAGTTACACAGCGAAGTTTGTTGTTGCCACGATTGTGCAACGGATTTGGCAACCGGCGGTTCGCTTCTTTTGTGGAAATAATAAGGGGGAGAAGCGAACGGCTTTAAATTATGCGCATGCATAAAGCGATCGGGCTTCGTGACGAAGACGTTTAGAGCGAAAGGGTTAATGAAAGAAATCGTGGCCGGATAGAGGCGCTGCCGCGACCGCATCGATCGGTTTCCCTGTCGCTGGTGTACTGCCACGGCAAATGTCAACGGATCGACTCGCGGCGGCTTGGAAAAAATTAATGGGATCGGTTACGGGCCGATGCGTCGACTAACGAACCAACGTATTTGCTCTCGGTTCTCCCCGCGGATATGGCAGTTCCGAAAGTCCCGGGAAAAGGGAACCGGTACGGCCGTGCCGATTTTTCTCGCGCCGGTCTCTCGACCGAGCGGGTCGGCTAAGTGATTTACAAAACAACAAAATTCTTGTGTCTTGTAAACGCCGGAGAATTGAATATGATTCTCTTTTGACGTCTAATTAGTGTATCTGTTGAATAATCGCAGTTATATAGTGAATGAAAGAAGTATTTAGTTAACGAAGCCTATCATAAGACGATGGAATCAAGATATATCGATAATACTGTGCTTACGTATAAATACTTTCTTCGTTCATTGTACATATGTGTAATTCTATTTACATGAACTCGCGATGAATGATACAATCGAGGTACAAGGGGTTTAATTTACATGAACTTCTCATTGTAATCAACCTTGAGAATTATTGTCTATAATTCTACATGCAAAAATCAAGCCCAAATCAATTGTACTATTCAGCGAGATATCCTCTGCTCTCGACGACGCGAAGATTTTCGAATTCACCGTGAAAGCATCGCGACGAAAATCGAAAGTTTCGAACGAGGAGCAGAGGGTCGACGCTTAATGAAATATTTCTCCATCAGCTAGGTTGACTGTTACTGGCAAACTAATTGTGTTAAGTGATGTGGGGTTCCTCCCCATCTTCGTTGTTTCCCGCAGGTTCCCTGGCGGGAGTGGGCGTCGGGGTCGGCGTGGCCGGCATGGGTGTCGGCTGCGGCAGCTCGAACCCGCTCGAATGGACCGGGCAGGTGACGGTGCGGAAGAAGCGCAAGCCGTACTCGAAGTTCCAGACCCTGGAGCTGGAGAAGGAGTTCCTGTTCAACGCGTACGTCTCGAAGCAGAAGCGCTGGGAGCTGGCGCGCAACCTGAACCTGACGGAGCGGCAGGTGAAGATCTGGTTCCAGAACCGGCGGATGAAGAACAAGAAGAACACGCAGCGGCAGACCCAGCAGCAGAACAACAACAACAACAACAACAGCAGCGCGAACAACGCGAACCACCACGGGGCGACCGGAAGCCATCACCATCCGAGCGCGGGGCACGCGCCACCGTCGAGTCACCACGTGGTCGCGCAGGCGCACCACGCGAACGGATCCGCGAAGCATCATCAGTGACCCGTGGCCTTCTCTGGGGTCGTCTTCGGCCATCCTCATCACAGCCACAGCTCCACGAACGGCTGCGCCGCTGGCAACGCGGGCTCATCCTCCGCGGCCAGCGCCGGGAACAACGCCGGACACACGGCCGGTCACGCGGGCCTGGTTACAGGCCACAGCCACACGCTTCACGCGCCCCAGCCGCAAACACCTCTGCCGACCCACGCGGCCGGTGCCTCGAGCACCGTCACGCCCCCCACCGCCATCGTTCACCCGCACATTCACGCACACGCTCATCATCATCAGTTGGCGCACGTGGCTCAGCAGTATCCAGCGCTCCTCCATCATCAGACGCCCCACGGCCTGGCCGCCTGAACACCCACACCAGGGAATGGCGAACCAAATTCGGACACCCCAGAGAAAAACCATTCGGACGAGATCACCGTGCCGGGATCGTCACGACGGATCCTAACGCCGGCTCGTTCAAGCGACAACTCCTCCGACGGTTGTCTTCGTGGTCCCACGTCGTCACGGAAGACGCCCGGCGTCTACACTTGATCGGATCCACCCCTCTTCAACCGAAGATCGACGAGGGATCGCGGGAGTACGCTATTTTATCGAACTTTGTTCAGCAGCTGTTGAAAGACTGCCCCTGAAAACCCCCACCCCCCAGAACCCCCAGCCCTCTACCACTTGTAAGGAGAGATAACGTTTCGCGAGTAGTATATTATTAATTATTATTTTATTATTAATATTATTAACGGTCATCGTCATCCTCGTCACCCGTCATGAACGCGGTCGCCGGGTTTAGCAACGGCGACCCAGTGGAACACTGTATAGAACCAGGGTGGAGAGAAGCGGAACATACGCGGCGTCCTCGGAACGTCCATCGGCAAGACTCTTCTTTGATCCGCGTGTCGTTCGGTGTCTGGTGTCGTCGGTCTTCTTCGTGTCGCGCGCATCATTACCGTAACATGCGCCGCCGAATGCAATCTGTCCAATTCGTAACGATTCGGTAGTACTTCCTCCAGTTATACATATTATATATATATATTATATATATATATAGTATATATAGTATACATATATATATTATATATAGTAAAGAAAATTAGTGTCACTTAGTGTCTGCCCTCGTCCCAGCCGCGAATCCACGAATCCTCGTCCCCGTTCCTCCGTTTCCATCCGTTCAAAAATTCGCCAACGGTTTTCTTCTCCCGAGCCCAGTCGTCATCTCCTAAGTCATCAGGTCGGAACCACGGGACGTGTTGCACTGTTCAGCTCGTCCATCGAGGGGAATGTCGCGCGGACGAGTCTCTAAGCTAGAGGCGGCGATCGTCGCGGAACCGTTCCGGCGGAGACGCGATCGGCTATAGTGGCTGCGGCACGGTCTCTCGAGGATCGCCGGAAGCCCAGGATCGAACACTGCGGTGGTAAGTGTGGGAAACGAAAGGGGTTGGCTCGCGGATCACGTTGGCGCTCTTGGGATCAACCGTCGAGATCCTTTGGTTCGAGCTTTCGCGAATAACGTCGCGGTTTATTCTGGGTTTTAACGATGAATTTAGATTAATGGCGAATTCACTGCGAAACTAATCGATTTAGCCACGCATGATGTGGGTTGTTTTGGGGCTTTCTTTGTTTCTTGGCGGTCACCGTGATTTCGGGCTTGTGACTTTGCAGCGGTTGGCTCCGCGAGGAGGCTACCTTCGAGATTTGCGAGGCGGTTCTTTAATGTTTCTTTTTTCGAGAGTCTATTATGGAATTGTTACTGTTTGTTTCATTTTTCAAGTGTCGCTTCGAGTGCGCGCAACCGAGGACTGCTCAGTTTTACCGACCAGTGTGAATATCTGTTTTGGGACTGGGTTGGTTAATGCTTCGAAGTTGATGCGGGATGTTCGTGAAGTACGCCTCTGAGACATTGGTGTAATTATTAGAATGTCCAACAGTTACGCCGATGTCTTGATACATGTTTAGAGTTCACTTCGTCGTGTTTTATTTCGCTCGCGCACGGCCAATGGCGAGAAATTTCGAAACCGGAGCGTTGGCGTTGCTATTATTCGATCGAGTATCGTAAGTGGACGTTTCTATTTGTCCCTGTGCAGGTTTAGTTGGTCGGTAGTGGAGTCACTAGTGAGAGGCATACTTTACTTAATTAACATCAGAGGTTAAAAATCAATGGCTATCGTTCCAAGGGTTTTTCATTGGGTTCTTGAATGGCGGTAGGAATTATAATCGCGGACCAGAGAGGTATATCGTCTAACGATCCAGCATTTTCAATTTTAATTAAGTTCCTTTCCTACTAACAGACTTCCGGTAGATAAAACGTTAATAAAATCAGCAAACGTGGAAAGATATTACACGGGTACATGTATTATGGATCGAGTTTATCAAAAGAAGTTGTACCGTAACAAAGGTCTACAAGTTACCTCGCCGTAATTACAGAGCATTGTGCCTGAAAGTGAAAATTATCAAACTATAAATAAATCAAACTGGTCGGTAAAGTGAAAGTGCCGAGACAACGAAACGAGCGCACCGCGGGAAAGTGAGAAAGAAAGAGATATTGCGAAGGTTAGTCGCTCTTTCGCGGAGATGAAGAATAGCTCTTTCGCGGAGATAAAGAATACATTTTTTATACAGAAAGAGGATTATTCTTTTTCATACGAAAACGGTGGTTCTGCGAACGAACCGCTTGTTTCTCTCAAAAGAAAAAAATCGAATAATTCGTTCACGAGGAAAACCTCTCTCGCGGAGGAAAATGGTGGCTCTCTCGCGAACCCAGCTGCTCGCTGAACGAACAGTCGCTAATATTCATAGAACGATGACCGCTACTGTCTGTGATTCCCGGAAAGTACTAAATTATTAGACGGTGCTTCTACTCGAGTCTCCGAATCGCGAGAAGTCGAGAAACCAGCGACGGAACGAGCAAGCAAAGAAAGAACCGTCGCGTCGAGGCGAGAATCCCACGGAAATCCAACGTCGTCCGAATTCGTTGTCGTTGACGGAGCTGGACAGTGGGACCGACATCCGACAAAGTTCCACGCAACAGTCCCCGATTCGTAGATCGGCAGATCCAATCCGCAGAGAAATTCGTTCGGACCGAGTAAACGGGAGAAAATGAGCTCGCTCGGCCGCTGATGGATCGAGAGCGGTCGGACCTTTGTAGATAACTTCTCTATCCATCGTCCGACCTTGTTTCGTCCGCTGGAGACGTCAGCGGCCGGCGAAGATCATCGCGAAGAGATCGAGGTTGGCAACTGGGACCGGGTGCTGAGATCTCCAACGCGTTGTCGCGCGAAGAATCGTTGCTAGATCCGACCGACATGATTTCTCTTGTCCCCTGTATAATGATGATCATCGGTGTCCCTTTTGGAGAACGGACCCGGTCCCACGGCAACCGCGCGTTCGGAGAATTAGTCTAATTATGTCCAGAATGTCGTATTCATCGCCTACCAAGGATCGCAAACTAGTACCTATAATTCTTATATTATATGTAAAAAAACCACACACACGTACACATACAAACATACACACGCATATACGTACACAGAGAGAAAGAGACGAAGACATATGCAGACACACAGGAACACGAAGACACGACTTAGATTTAAAGGTATACCTTAGTGGACCGGACGGTCGAGAGCACCGTTCTAAGGCCGAGTTTAGGACCCTCCGTTAGAGCTCGGCCTGTCTCGCGGCGACTGATCTCGCGCTCGCTGCCCGAGCGGCCCGAGGTTCGAGCAGGTGTACAATTGCGGTACTTAAGAGATCGAGGATCCCGATCCGTTCATTTCGGCAGGTGTCATCGCGCGTTGCGTTTGAACGCGAGGGCTTTGTTAATCGTTTCATTAGTATTATTAGCTTGTTAAACTGTGTTCTCGATGATCCTCCGAGCCTCCTCGCGAACGCATCCACGCCGTTGGAACTCGGGGACCGATGGAATGGGGGATGGTCGTTGGGTTGGCGGAAAGAATGACGCGACGTTATACCCGCGTCGAGGCGGTGTAATGCATTTTAATTGGGGATTAACGTTCGATCGAGGTCTTAATCGTATCGGAAATAACGATCGCTCCGACGCGTCGGCCATTCGTTTTGCGCCAACTTAACGGTTGCCGTTTAGTTAAAAGAATTTCATTGGAGACGACGATATCGGATTTATACTCGCGGAGGATCCAGGG